TTAATTATACGAAATTTAACACTATAAAATATATGTCAAGAAATAGAATTTTTTTATTAAAGTATTATAAATGTTATATCAATATAAAAATTAATTAAATTAATTATATTTTTATTATATTTTAATAATTACATCAAAATAAATATTAAAAGGCGGTTTACATCCATATATTAATAATTTTTCTTTTATAAATGGATGTGATACTTATTCATCCATTTAATAATATAATAAAAAACAGAAAAATAAAAATTAAAGAGACGAGCTGCAACGCAAAAATAGGACAGGGAGTGGATTTGGACTCCTTCCCACACCTTATAAATTGCAACATCGGCTCGTCTCATCACACCTCAAGCACATCCTGATTTCATTTCCTCTGCTTGTCTTTGGTACCTAATTCAACGTCAACACCTCCAAAATGGCTGAGGAGAAGCACCACCACCACCACCACCATCACCATCTTTCACACCACAAGGAGGAAGCCCCACCTGAGACCACTGTCTACTCCGAGACCGCAGTCTATTCTGAAACTGCATACCCACCAGAAGTTGATTACAAGAAAGAGGAGAAGCATCACAAGAATCTTGAGCACCTTGCCGAGTTGGGTGCTGCTGCAGCTGGCATTTATGCCGTGGTAATGTTCCTTTGATGAGCCCCTTTCCTCTATACACCAATAATTAATGAAGCCTTGAAACCATGGGAAATTGCTTAACAAAAGCCATACTAGTCTAAGTTATAATTTTTTGAATGATCGATGTATATTTTACCATAGATCATACACGCCAAAATTCAAATACTTCGTATTAAATGATAATAATTAATAACCCTATTTTCATATTAAGAATAATTTTGGATAATAATACCCCTATTTTTCTATTTTTTCTTTTATTTTTTAAATTTTATATTTATAAATTTTTGTTTTTAATTTTTAGCACGAGAAGCACAAGGCAAAGAAAGACCCAGAGCATGCCCAGAGGCACAAAATAGAGGAGGGGGTTGCAGCAGCACTTGCAGTCGGAGCCGGGGGGTTTGCCTTCCACGAGCACCATGAGAAGAAAGAAGCAAAGAAACAAGAGGAGGCTGCTCGCGGAAAGCACCACTTCTAATTTAATTTGATCTTCTAATAAAAAATTAGTATTATATATTAATACATATTCTGGTTTTTTTTTTCTTTCTGTATTTTCTCTTTCTTTAAGCATGTTTTTGATTTTCTATTTTTTTTTTAAAGCATGTTGTTTTGTATCCCCAGTAACGAACTACCCTAAATACTTGTACCAATTCTGATGTTGATGTTAATAATAAATTTATTTATAATTATAATAAATAAAATGATGATTTTTTTAATCCAATATACTCAAAGAACATGCGCTTAAGCGCTTAAAACAATTACATAAGTCCAATTTTACCATATCAGAATAATATGGCATGCATTGCATCAATGAAAAAGGATTGGCCCTATTTGCTTATACAACCACTTTGTTAGGAAATTTGAAAAAGTGGTGAAGTGATTAAGGAAGTATTCTATAGAAAGTTAAAAA